ATGCGGCGACAGAGGCCTTTACATACCCTTAGTAGGACTATCGATTGCATATAGTCAAACCTTCCCGGCTTTTAGCTCATGTAATACTGGGCGGACCTGTGCGGAAGTACTCTAATATCACTTAGAGTAGCTTTGGAATTGAATTTCGGTTCACAATTTTTGGACAAAGAATGAGATGAAGATGAGGCAGACGGAGACGAACTGTCAATTAGCTCAGGTGAGGGCGGACCAGATGGTTTCACATCATTCTGATTGCTCAAGCCATACGCCAGTTGTGATAAATACTCGCATGAACCCACTGCAAACCAAGTACACGTTTTTAGATTGAGAACTGGTATTTATCTGGAACTTTTTGACCAATAAAAGCTGATAACACTACGAGCGCCTACGAGAAATACGATGGATAGTTTTTTTATTACCAATACGCAAAGGAAGATGTTGGAAAAAGTTGTACTGAAAATATATTATGCAATTTTTTTTAGTAAAATTTTCTACTTTTCGACAAAATGAATAGCCGTTTAGGCAAAATATGACAATTTATTCTATGCTATAACTCATTCTAAGAAGAAAACAATTTGTCTTTCATATTCAGTTTGTCTTCGAATTCTACTCACCAGTTTGTTACTATACCACAGGGCAACAGTTAACGAAGATTTGAATTTATTTTGGATGAGGAGAATGGTTGACATACTCTCATGGTTTCTGCCTGTGGTGTGTCAATCTATTTTCGTACTTTATTGGCATAAAGAAAGATATACAGTGCAAACAGAGTAGTATGAAGGCCTAGTATCACTTGTAAATCGGTCTGAAAAATCTTGAAGAATTTTTTATATCAGTTCAATTAAATAAGCTAAGAAACTGATTCTAACAGCTTGTAACAAGCTGGAATAAGAAATGTATGTTAGAGTGAGGGTGACAAGCTGATTGTAACATTTGTACCAAAAAAATAGCTTCTCATAGATTTTTTCTATATGTTCTCAATTAAGCTTCGATAGATTTTCCAGAATATACTATGCATACTCATGTCTAAAGTGTCTGTTACAATCAGTTTCTTAAGGCACATATATTCTTGGCCGCCTTGAAGTCCTCTACCCAACAGTGTATGATATGTTCAAAAATAAATTTTACTAAAAGTTAGCTTTCCGTGCATCTTAATTGTGGCCATAATTGGATTTTCAAGTAATCTGGGTCATTTGTGGATGTGCTAAAGCAATCATCGAGTGTTGTTGATGTTGAATTTGCTGTGTTTGTGTGACTCCAATGTTGAATGGCACATTTTTCTTGCATACATATTTTAAAAAACACTTTTTAATCGTTTTCCGAATAATTGTGGATGATATCACATAAATGTAGAAACTAGAAGAATAATTGATGTAAAAGACTAAACGTACCACTTGAAGAATTAAATTCTCCCATGCAATTTTCAACTCAGTTTTTGATATATTAGCTGTGATTCTAAAACAAATAAATAGATTAACTTTGTTAAACCGCATTTTCTGCTACTTACACTGAATAGAGTGATTGGACGCTAAAAGGAACTGATGATATGACCGTTACTGCAACTTCAAGCAGCAACATGGATGCCAGTTGACGATCAATTTTTCGCAGACGACTGTTTGTGATGACGATGGATGGATCTGTTCGGCGTCGGATCATATGGATATTGTTTTTTGTCATCAAACCAAAGGTTATTTGCAATAACCATGGCAAAATACCATAGCAGATAAGATTGATAAAATAGGTTAAATAGATTTTAAAGATGGTCGAAGTAGATGCACATACTGAATTAACTAGGTCAGTGCTGATGGCAAGTGGAATACTTGCCGCAATCCAGAATACAACTACAGCGACACTTAACTGACGAGCAATGAGAGGATGACTGAATCGTCGTCGTTTGACATTTCGACATGTGGATGTGTATCGATCGATTGAAGCAATTGTAATGTAGGAGAGTGATGACAAGGACGCAACTAATGCAATACTTGGTCGTAGTTTGCACCATGAACGACTTGTTTGAGTTAGATCGATTTTGAATCCATCGGCTAATATCCGGCTGAGCAAAGTGCTATTTAATTGAATGAAATCAGCCACAGATGATAAGAGTAGATAGAGACAACAGGGTGATGATCGAAATGTTTTTTGAATAAAAATTAAGATATTTAATATACTACCAATCGTTCCAAATATGTAAAAAATACTGCCAATATAAATGTTCAAGTATATCGAAACGGAAGTTAGCTCAATCGCTGTGGACATGATTTGAGAGCAGATCGAAGACGAAGAAAATAATGACTACGCTTCCATCAAGAGTAACTTATATCATTCATAACTTATAAACGCTTTTCTGATCTATATATTCCTGTTTGCTCATCCTATTTGACATGTCATGAAATCGCATGTCACAGAACTAATGAGCTCTTTTTATGGTAAACGATGCAATTTTGTTAAATATATGGGCCATCCTACGAATGAACCGTTTGGATTTGCGTGACAATTATTCTGTTCATGTTATACGAGATGAACAAACCGGCATACACAGAACAGAAAACCTTTCTGTGAATGGCGTACGTTCTGCTTCCAATTCCCTCTACGTAGCTAAAATGTCACTATTATGGATTGTAATTGTCCATAAATACGTTTTTGAATGCTAAAAAAACAACATCGATGAATGATTTCTTTTATTTTTGTGACGCAAAGTAAACATATAGGAAAGGTGAAAAATTATTCTCACAATATAAAGAATGACAAGGATTCCAACTTTTACTAAGCGATAAAAAATGAGGATAGAATATACTCAAAAATGAAGAAAAAAGATAGAATTGTTAAACTGATTCATACTTGAGTGACAGCGTATTCAAACTACTTTTCTCGCACAATCGGATTATTTTTGAAATCGTCCATAGTGTCCCTGTTTTGATTAGCATCGGTAATTATTACCAAAAATTTAAATTCCGCACCACTTCATTACATTGTGCACCTCGTTAGAAACGTTTAAAAACGAAACTGCCAACAATCTAAACAGCCAAGAAAAGTAGTAGTAAAATAAGAAAGATGCCTACCTCCTGTTAAACTTCTAGTATTGTTACCGACACTCGGGCATCAGCCGCTTGAATAATGATATTAAATTGACATGTCAGTGATTCTATGATAGTAAAAGTTGTTGGTTTTTTCATAGTTTTATCGCAAATAAATTTTGCTACCACTGTACCTGTTCTACCACAATATAAATCTCTATTAATACTTGTCGTAATCAAGCGTGTTCCGGGGTCACTGTTTATCTTCAACGAATACTGCGGTTCGTCAATTCTACATATCTCTACAGGATATCATTGAGTAAAATATGGTCAGGAAAATATTGACTTTTTGGGATTTTTCCATCTGAAATGAGATAGTTTAGCATCCTGGACACCCAGAAAGAATCAGGGATGCAAAAACAAGAGCTTTGTTTGCTTTCTAAGGCCAAGGTTTTCCTTTATTTTACCTGTACTCGTACCCCACCCCACCCGAGAACTTTGTACCCGTACCCGACTTATGCCTAAAAATTTTCTTCTTTTTGTTTTCCAGCTAAAAACTTTTGTTTTTCGGCTGAAAAGATGTCAAATTATCATTATGTTCTCAAGTAATTCTCTCTACTAAGAATACACGGCTGACTGTTTTCTGTGTTCTGACTGTCCATAACGCTAAACTATCTCATTTCAGAAGAAAAAATTCAAAAAAGTCGGTATTTCGGTATGGATACCGATACCGATACCGGTGCATACCTAGTTGAGATTTACCAGTACAAAACGAAGATAGCACAAAACCACAAGGATTGAGACGTATTGTTAATGTCTATACCAGCTAGGGTTATACCACTTGGACTATTCAAATTATATTTATTCGAACTGAATCTTTGTTTACATGGTTGCGTATCATCACTTTCGACATATAAAATTAGTTCAAAGAAAATCATTAGAAATACAAACATTGTGTTTTTACCGAAAAGTTGAAAGTAATCAGTAATACGCACACAGTGTGTTAAAGAAATAAAAGCTAAAACTACATGATAACAAATGTCACTTGTAGGTTAAAACAGGCATAAAAACAATTTTTTTACCATTTAAAATCTGTAGTCACTATTGATTTGGGATAGAGGTGTATGGGATGGATGAAATTGTGCAGTTCAGATGAGCGATCACACGTGTTAATACTAGTCTGTGACATTCGTCAGTGTATTCCAACACCGGAATTATTTAATATTGCTAAGTACACTATCATCGATTATAAAACTGATTAAGATGTTAAATAAGGTTCGAAATTATTTTACTGATAATTTCATTCAGTCAAATGAAGCGTGAAAAACAGGAAATCGGTTTTCTTTTAGTGAGCCTTTGTCCATGCCTTATTTAACGAATTCCATATTTTTTCATAATTATTTACTAAAGTCTACCAAAAATACCTTCAAACGACACATTAGCATCCGAATTCTGCCTGTGAGAAATATTCAAAGTTCGTTCAGGGATTTGCAAGTGAATTTATTTCTGATGAACTCATTTCACGCCTATACGCGTAAAACTCATCCATTGATCCTTGGAACGGTAAGTTAACAACATTTGACGCTGCATAACCCTGATTATATCCAAGAGTAACATACATAAGGCCACCACTGTTTGAATAACTGCTAATGGAACCTGTTGATCCCTGTGACGTTCCATTAACATAGAGTGTGAGACCATTTGTTGTGGAGAAAGTGATAGCGATATGAGTCCATGTATTTAATGATATAAACGGGCCAATAACAGACGGATAATACCCATTGCTTGCTGGTATCTGCGTCATTATCTGTCCACTGTATGTCAAACTTAAAATATCTTGATAGGTACCATATCCACCTTGATAGTTTGAAATATGTATAATAACACCACCGTTAATTGATGAAGGCGATATCCACACGGCAAATGTGAATGGTCGGTTATTGTAGACACCAATTGAGTAAAAAGCGTACATCTGAAAGTATGAGGTGCTTGTCGTAAAGCGAATTCCTTGATTAACACGACCGGCAATCGAGACTAAAGAAGAGTAAGATGTACTATTCAACCGGTTTGGACCACTATCGTAATATACGTTTAATAAATCAAATGAGAAATAAAATATTTGCGTAGCATCATTCAGTAATTCAGATGAACTCTTTGCACGTGTTGTCAATAGTAAATTATCAATATAATAGTAATAATAGCTTGATGATACCAAAAGTGGTGAATAGCCCATTGTTAGCGAGCCGTTAGTGCCTAGATATGGAGTCGTAACACCAGACCGAATAGCATCCTGTACACCATCTATGTAGATGATTTGTTGTGCTGCTTGATAGTTATACACAAAGGCAATATGATACCAGGTACTTGCAGATAATGTTGTACTACCCGATAGATCGTTGTAATTGAAACCCATGTAGAGTTTTCCACTTCTCAGTATGAGAAACAAACATTGACTTGTACACGTTGTACATGTACATTGACCAAATATGGGATTATCACCGGCAATATAAAGATATTCATAAATTACATATTTCTAATATGTGTAAAATGTTTTGGATACAAAAATAAATTTGCAAGTATAGACCTAAAGGAGAAAGGAAATAGTGTGACATAGTATATTAATAATTCATATTGTATGGATAGATCCATCCCTCTACTGTGAAACTTGTGTATGATAAATTGAAAAAGTTGGACGCTGGTACTTCGAAGTAACTATTTGTAGTGTACATATACAGCTCTTGACCGTTACCAAAATAAGTGTTGCTTGCAGATTGATAAGTAGCAGAACCCACTAAAGAGCCCGCATAAACACCGTACATATCATTTCCGTTTCCGTCAAAAGACCAATAGGCAGATATAACAGGAGTGGAGACAGTTGTGTTCGCCGTAGTTGATTCTAGAATAAATGCATAAGCATTATTTCAAGGTCGATTATTTATTATAAGTGGAAAAAATTATACTTTGACGACTAAATACAGCAGCAATTGGAATAATAATGATAAGTAAGATAATAACTCCCGATGATATTGCAGTAATAAGTAAACATTTGTTAGTCATCCATGTTGGACGAGTGTAGTTAAATCTAAAACGAAGACAGTATGTACAACTCAATAATAATGTGATGCTATACTTACATTTGTTTACTCGGTATGGTCGTGACTTCACTTTGAGAAACAACTGGAAGTATACCTATCTCCTAGAATTATATAGATTAGTTTGTAAAAAATGTTAAAAGAGAACCCTGAATTCAATTACATTTGATGCTGGTTTATGGTAGACTACGGTCGTAGTAGTCGAATCAGAAATATAGGATGCTGTTACTGGACCGGCTGGTGGAGCTTGCTGTACAAATGGAACACGAGGCATTTCTCATGATTTATTCTGGCAGTTTAGTAAAAAAGAAAATTCAATGTTTGTGCGTTATTAGTATGCATTCGCATTCATTTTTTATTTTCATTATCGTTGAAAAATACATTTTTAAAGTTTGTTTTTTTCGTTGATGATGAGATTAACCCATTCAAAGCTTTTAGTACACTTCTGCTAGAAATATGACTAGTGAGTGCAGAGAATGTTCATTTCAGGACATTTAATATTCGAAGCTTTTTTGTAACAAAACACTCAATTTCAGAGGATCTCAAATCTCTGCAGAAAGTGTTTGTTTGATATACACGGCATCAATCCATACTCAAATTGTAATTTATACAGGCAAATAGCGATGCTGTTTCTTTTAATAGCAACTAAAAATACACAAAGTTAGACCTTTAATCCTTTGGCTACCAGTGTTCTATATATAAGACAGCGGTCTTTGCTTTGCTTACCGGTGTCCTATTAAAATGATGCCTTGAAAATTTCAGATTTTGTGCTCGTGTAACTCTCTACAGTAAGTATTTTATCTGCCACGTGTCACTATTAAAATCTGGAATTTTCAAGGCATCATTTTAATAGGACACCAGTAAGCAAAACAAAGACCGCCATCTCGTATATAGGACACCGGTAGCCAGAGGGTTAATACATAAGTAACGCATATCTACGATTCATCGACTTTTGAGTAAAAGAAGTGCGTTCAGATGAGCTCAACAACAACCGAAAGAGGACTAAAGAACACGTGAAAGACTGTCTCTGCTTCTCCTGAAACACAAAGCGAAGCAGAGATGGGTCGTTATAGGGAAGGTCCGAAAGAACAGAAAGATTATTCGTTATCCTCTGTCACAAACTATATTTCATTTGTATGCGTTTAAAGAATATTCGAATAATAACTGCATGAATAAACGTTTAAAGAAAAGAGAAAAGAGCTCAAATCTACGCAACAAAATTATTCGTAAAATTATTTTTCTTTTATATATTTGGAAGGAAAAAATGTAAGAATCAGTGAGAAGAAAAGAACTTTAGACGAGAAAATTTAATATACCAAGTTAGTCCGTTTTGAGTGTTAATCCGAGAGTTCTTTGTAAATTATATAAACGTACTTTATTTAGCAAAAAAAATAGAGTAACAAAGAGAATCTGCACAGGGGAATTTATTAAAAATCCAGTTCATATTTAAGTACAATAGTGTATCAGCATTATCTGATGTTAATCTTGATCTTCTGTCACTAATTCTATATCGTGTGGCAGAAAACATTCTTTTAATAGTACACTTGTACCTGATATACACAAATATTTCATCATTATTTTTGATATTTTGTTTTTTAATCAGATTTTCACCAGTTTAATGGGCAATCTGTTCTGTCTATTTCTAGTTCTTTTTTGTATAAATCAAATTCAGTACTCTATGAATTAGTAATTGATGCTTGATAATCAAAAACAGAATTATCCAAATCAATTTCTGTTATTTGAGTAACAGATTTATATAATAAAGCTGAATATGATGAAACCGAAGGTGCATTTCCATCATATTCTTTTGACAAAAACAAAGTAAATATGCTTTAATTTTACAATTCAATGCGCTAAGTTTATCTAATGTTGTTATAACCTTTATTTGTAAAATATAAACTAGAGAACAAAACTGAGGCCAGGCCTCATTACGATGTTCAAGAACATGTATCTAATGTTTGTTTAGTAATTACCAGAGCTCCGTAAGGACTCAAAAATTCTGAATCCAATCTAGTCCAGTCCAGTTTAAGTCCATGAAAAAGAGCGTTTTCGGGCCATAGACTCTAAAAAAGAAGTCCAATCCACCCTACAAAAAGCAATCTGCTTTTTTACTGATTTTTCCTCGATTCAAGTGAATCCAAAAAAAAATCCAGATCTGTCCATGATCTTGAAAGTTTGAGTCCAGTCCAGTTCGAGGCCATAAACGCAAAAAATTTTCAGTCCAATCCATACGAAGCTATTGTTTATCATGATAAGATAATTATAAAAGTGTAAAATTTGTATACCTTGGACCCGATGATGTACTCAATAATGTATATTTTTGTTCATATCTATCCGCCTGGAAAAAGTAGTTATAATCGTGTTTTTGAATTTATTATGAATATATAAATACATTTTAGAAAATAATTATATATTCTGATAGCGCTTGATATTCTGTGTTAGTCTCTGCTTTTCCACCCTGGATTCAAAATTATTTGCTAGCGAAAATTTTCAATATTGTTAATGCCTCCCCACCTATCACATTCCCAGAAATTGTAATGGGTGTGGTCTCTCAGCATTTTCTATTTTTCTCGTGTTTTTTTAGGACCTAAAAGTTAATGATTTTTTTCATAAAGATGTACTGCGAAATACTCTACAACGCCACGCCTAAACTTTAATTTCAGAACTTCAAGAAAACAATTCAGATTATGCGAAAGGCGGAAAAAATGAAAGGTTTGTAAAATCAAAAACGATTTCATGTAACGTTTTGAAAGCAAAAAAAATTGAATTAGACACTTTGTAGCCCTCACTTCGCTCTATCTTTTAGCTACACTTCAAATTTTTTTCACATAAAAAATCATGAAGAAATAAGGTTTTTCTATCTGTTGTCACGCAATTTTTCATTAATTTTTTAAATGCTATATATAGTGGTGCTTTTATTAAAAGCCCCATAACTCCATCAAAACAAAAGATTTTCCGATCGAGTTTGTTTTGTTTTGTTTTGATCAGAAATTATTACTCTTCTCTATCTAACTGCAAAACCAAAACTTCAATAATGTTTCCCATTTCTTGCTTCCGTACATTGTTCGAAACGCGAGGTTGTCAATTTTTAATGTGTTTTCGAAACTTCGGTCTCAATCCCCCATAATCTGTTCTAAACGTTCGTTTTACAGACCACAAGAAAGAACACATCCAAAAGTACAAAAAGAACTGTGTTCTAACTTTCGCTACATGGTTTTACAGAAATAAAAGCAGAGGCAAAAGGTTCTAGTGGAAAAAAATACCCAGATTTTCAAAGCTTTTATTTTTTTCGTCTTTCGTATAATCTGAGTAGTTTTCTTGATTGAAGTTCTGAAATTAAAGTTTAGGCGTGGCGTTGTAGAGTATTTCGTTCCTTTTGTACGTACTAAATGAGCTTAGATCTTTCTCATACACTTTCACCTATTGATCTTAATCTAAAAAATACGAAGGTTCGAGCGAGGTTCGAACTCGCGTCCTTCTGCGTGTGAAGCAGACGTGATAACCACTACACCACCGAACCCATGTAACATTGACTCTATTTTCAGTACAATTTCTAATGCGATATACATCGGTGTAGCACACTGCTTTCCTTTGTTTGTTGGTTAGCTGTATAATCCGATTTTCAATGCTAATCGGAAGAAGAAACATACAAATAGTAAACTTTTTACAAAAATATACCCAAGGAGAGTTGTTTCTTTTCACAAAAAGTCGAAATACATAGAAGAAGTAAGGAGGCATAATAGACATGAACAAGATCGTTATATCGTTGTTGTACCTAACTACGATTTATTTTGTAAATTTACAATTACTACTGTGGTTGTAGGAAACGAACCACTCTAGGATTTCAGATCAGACAGAAATAGATAAATTCTGGTGACTTAAGTTGAGTAACCTGTATTATTATATAAAAAGGCTCTTTAGTATGTCAAATAAAGTTTTAGTGTTGGTTGTAAAACTCGGAATGACCTTGAAAATCATTGTACGAGTAACGGTATCGAAGAAGAAAATTTGCAGAAAACTGAAAAAATGTGTCAATACCTTTGTACTAACAGGGACTTCTGACGGTATGTCGAGTTAAAATTTTTTATTTTTTATATTTATACCATGTCTGTAAAAGAGCCACAGAATCAGCCAGATCTGTTAGAACTAAAAGATACTTCTGCCAGCAGGAAAAACTTTGTGCAACAATGTTTTTTCTCCGAAAATCGAAAAAAAGACTAATGTATCCAAATAATAACAGCCATAGACTCGTTTTAAATAAAAAACATATAAGCTACATACACGCTCCGGTTGACGAGGTGTAAAAGAAAAGAAAAGCGCTGGCAGCCACAGAAAATATGGATAAACAAAAGCGAATAAAGCACGTCGCCAAAACTGAGTCGGGAAACGAACATACCCTAGTAAAAATCTTACACACTTCTTAAAATTATCGTATTAAGATCTTATCGTTTAAGATCTTACTAAGATTTAATGACTCTACTTCCATTCACCCCTTTGTTTTGCTCTCATTAATCTATATAAGTAACAGAAAATATGAGTGATTGATTATACAGTTATTTTTCTTCGAGACTCTGCTACTACTTGCTCTCGAATGTGTTCAACAACTTTTTAGAGAGTGCACATGCAAGTCAAATTAGACACCTGAAAATATGAAATTTCTCCTCATTCTTCAACACTGTTCAACTGCTGATTTAGATAATACGGATTAAAACTTGAAAAAATTTCGTGACTCTCGAATGGATATATATAATATTATTAAACGTTATCGTTCGTACTATTAAGATTCTACACATTCTTATTCAATCTCGAAAAAGTCTCAGACAGTATAATCTAAGTAAGATTTCGCTTACATTTGCCTAAGATCTTAGAAAAATCGTATAAAATCTTAGAATTTTCGGATCTCACGATCTTAGTAAGATCTGTTTAAGATCTTAGACAAATATAAGCGAAATCTTCCTAAGATCTTAATAAGATTTTTCTAACATCTTAGTAAGATCCGAGTAAGTTTTTCTCATTAGGGTAGGGAACAAAAAGCGCAGACACAATCCGATAAGACGAGTAAATTGTGGAACACTAAGCATTCAAAAACTGACCGAAATCAATCTTTGATGTTATCAAGTATCCTAAGTATACAAACTGTTTCACAAACTTCATTTCGTGCCCATTATACGTTAATGTGAGAGTAGCGGTCTGAAGTTGTGAGTAAATCAACATTGCAACTGTTTTAGTTACATTTAACTCAATTAGCCAGTATTCACAATATGTGTTTGTTCTTATCAACACTTCTTGACCAAGTCGCTGCAACATTGTGCATCCGCTTAAAAAAGACAAGCCATAAGAAACAGTGGAAAAAAGAGTCCATTCGTCTACAAAAAAAAGTTATTATCTCGAGCTGACACCTTTATCTCAACTAAATAGGAAACGTAAATCAAGGGTGAAATAGCAGAACCTTGTGGCAATCCCATTCAATCCTAAAAGCTTCTGATTCTAATCCTCCAATGAAACATATGCACATCGATCTGAGAGCCAGTTCGTTAATCATAACCAAAGACGAGATGGAATTTGGAATCTAACTAACTTAACTAATAAAGTCTTGTGCTAACCTTATCAAAAGTACTAGCAAAATCAATAAAAACGAGCAGATCAGGCCAATTGGTGACAACACATTGCCGTGCTTGTTCGTAAACGGACAGTACTCTGGTTTGCAATCGTACATCGGCTTGGAAGCCAGATTGCTGGTGAGGAATGACGTTGTGCACCTTCATCGAGCTATGATATTTGGATAAAGGATTTTTTCGTAGACTTTGCCTATTGTATTTAAGATTGATATTGGTTGCAGTTCTTTTTTTGATGTCGATTTTGAATTGAGAAACATTCTAGCTATCTTCGCCCGTCGAGAAATGTGTTATATTCCAAAAGTCGATTGAAGGTGACAACCAGAATGCCGGTGAAGAATATCGGTATTTGTTATGAAGTTGGAAGTTTGAGACAAGTATAGAACTCGCTTGCACTTTTTTCAGCATGGTTTAGACCAGAGCCCTGCAGGTTGAACCTATACTATTGATAGATTAGGTTAGGATCAGGTTGGAAAAGCTATAGGTTAGCTTAGGTTATAGATTGTTCTATTTTTTTTTCAATAGCTAGGTTAGGATTAGGTTGTCGAATCCATGGGTTAGGTTAGGATTAGGTTGTGAAATTTTTTATAGGTTAGGTTATAGGTTGCCAAATATTGGCAACCTGCAGGGCTCTGGTTTAGACTTCTTTATAGGTAGTAGAGAGATTTTTTCTTGAGAGCAGTTTTAATATAAAATTTCAAATTGTTCGTATTCAGCATTAATTTCATCACGAGCGGTGGAGGTTAACTTTTCTACGGAAAAACGAAAATGGTCTTTGTAGTGGTCGTGAAGCTGGTTGACATTAGTTAATACATCGTTTTCCACAGTGATTCCTTTTACTGCAGGCGTAGGAGACTGGAAGTGTTGTGCAGTAAGCTTACAAAAAATAATTACTGTCCTTCATGTTGCATTGTTTAAAAAAGTTTTCCCATTGCGTTCTTATACGATATAATTTGTAAACACACGTTGGATGTGGTAGACTCGACAGGTCTCTTCGTCATGTCGTCAATGGTATCGCTTACGTAATATGTGTAATTGTGATATTTCCTCACCAATCCAGAGTGGAAAAGATCTGCTATAGCGTGAAACAGGTATTATCTCGCCACCCTAACTACTAACGAACCTCTTCAACTAAAATCTAAAAAAAATAATTATTGTTAAGATAAAGGGAAAGTCGGCAAAAGGGGTATGCACATTTTTACCAGCAAAGAAAAGAATCAGCATAAAAATGAATTAATGATCACCAATAAAAAGCAAACTGCTTTCAATGACGAGCGGTAAAGATAAAAAGAGTACACATGATAGTAGTCATTCAAAAGCATTTTTATGCACTTTTTAATTTTCTTCTTCTGTCTTTCTATGGGGACTGTACACGGAGCAACGCAGACAATAGTGTGATTTATATTTCTTTTTGTTTTAAAAAAGTTTTTTTTCTCGTCTTTTTCGCAAGGTTTTTTAGAAATCGTGTACGTGCGGGCCTGAGTTGTCACCTTGTAGCTTCCCCAAAATCAGAAATCTCAATTGCAAAAAAAATGCATTCATAGGTAATCGACTCCAATGGACATATTCGGAGGTACCAACTAATCTTGAGAGAATCTCCGGAAAAGCTATTCAGAAATATCGGGATTGGAAGTTGAAACAGAAAATCTTAAGGATAAATAGATTACGGCGTATCTGATGGACATATAATTAGTGCTTTATGAGGATTTCCAGAGGATATTCAGAAATCTTTTTCATTAACATGGAGACTTTACTAAATCAAAACGCTTTCATAGACAATCAACTACGGCGCCCTTCACTGGTAGATAACTGAAGTTTTCAGAAGAGTTTTAAAAGGCTTTCAGAAAAACTTTTTGGATTTACTGACATTTAAAACTAAAAAAGCGGTTTACGTCGTTGTTAATACCAAATGGGAAGTCGACCCATTTGGTATTAAGAGGCGACTATAATTTCTGCAGATTTTAATACATTGAATAAAATGGCTTCTAATGCTACCGATATGATGACAGTCTCTAAAGACGCTAAAAATGATCACAATGATCAATCAATTGTACATAAAAACATTCAGACAGATCAGCAATGTACACATCCAATGTCCGATGCTGATCACTGTATACAGTCTTCGGCAAACGATGTTGATGATGCACTCTCAGACGAGGAATACGATGATTATGTCAGTGAAGACGATTACGGCGTCGAACACTCAGCTTCCGATGCTGAGAGCACATCTTCAAGAGTATTGCGTGATTGAGAACGACGGCAAAATCAACGACTTAAAAGAGATCATTCACCATAACGTCGTAAACAAGTGAAAAAACAAAAGAAATCTCAATCATCATCTGTTTCAAGCTCGTCCTCATCATCAAATTTGTCGACTTCTTCCGAATCGACAGCTCCATCTAACTCAAATGATAGTGACAAAAATTCTTCGACTCAACGACAAAGAAACATAACCGTGCATTACCAACACAAATGCAAAATTTCATCAGCAAACATTTTACGATGATTCACAAACGCGACGTTTTAAAAACTAAAATATTGGGTAAAATGCAAACAACGGCAATTCAATGTATTTCGGCACCGGAATTGGATGCTACAATGTTAGAAATATTTCCCGACAAGTCATTCACGGTGAGAATCGATAAAACACTTAAAGCACTTCAACAGCATACGTCGAATATATTTGCACCGTTGACGATGATGTGGGCAAAAATACAGTCAGGATTAAAATCGAAAAAACGGCTACGTCCCAAGAAGCTTCGCAAATATGTTGAACAGGCAATTATTACGTTAGGTCAGGCAACCGCACACTTTCTGAAGGAGCGAAGATCAATGTTTCTTTCAAAATTAATTCCCAACGAAGCTCAGGCCAAAGAAGATTGTGAATGAATATAAGATCGATTTTACTTCGCAACCACCCACTTGTTCTAAATGCTACACCCGTTTTCTGATAAAGAAAAGTCCATGATCACTGCAGAAGTGCAGAAAATATTGGAAAAGGGCGCGATTCAGGGAACAGAACACTCAGATGGCGAGTTCGTTGCACATCTCTTTTTACGACCAACGAAGGACGGTGGACAATGACCAGTCTGTAATCTGAAAGACTCAAACAAATTCATACCATATGAACATTTTAAACCAGATAATATGATCCAAGTTAAAAGTCTCTTGCAGAAAAACGACTTTCTTATGAAAATCGATCTGAAAGATGCTGATTTCACCGTTCCGATAAACGAACAATATAGCAAGTATTTGCGTTTTGAATGGGACAACAATTTATATGAGTTCTGCGCTCTACCGTTTGGTCTAGCAAGTGCTCCGCATCTATTTACTAAACTGCTGAAACCAGTTATGGCTTTGTTACGAAGACTAGGCATTCGTACGGTAATCTACCACGACGACATTATTATTATGAACGACACTAAAAACGGTGCAATTCACAACAAAGATTCCGCTTTATTTCTATTGAAGAATTTGAGCTTCGTCGTCAATTTTGAAAAATCGTTCTTAAACCGGAAAAATCCTTAGAATACTTGGGATTTGGGATCAACACAGAAATTATGACATTACATTTACTAAAAGATACAGTTGACAAGATAAAACGCAAATGAAGTGAACTCTTGAAAACGGATCAAATCCCAGTTCGTGAACTTTCAAAAATCAAATTTTGTGCATCAGAACTCAACTTTTATGCAATAAATTTTTTTAAAGCTAAAACTTAATTATTTTTAATCAGCTCATCGTGTTCTATCTCTTATGATTTATAAATAGGACCAAAATAAAATAGTGCTCGAATTTCGAATTAGCGGCAGCTAATGTTGCTAAATTTAAATTGCCTTATTCTTTACTTAGTTTAACGAATCTTTGTATATTTTCTTATTCATTCTTTGTCTGAAACTGACAGTGTTGCGTTTTAAACTTATAGGCGAAACTGAGAGTCGAAATACCGATTTAGAGCTTTTTATTTTTTAGATTAGATTATTTTTTAGAGTGCACTTTTATGAGAAATAGATGAAAACACAGTTCAAACTCGTTACTCAGGAAAATTTAGACGCTCCAACAGCAAAGCAGTCTAACACGTTAAAACCGCGATGTTTCATATTCGGTGGTTCTAACTAGTTAGAGCTTGTAATGCGTGCTAACGCTTCTCTCAACCGTAAAGCACTAAAACTTGCTTGATTTTCAAAAGTTTTTCAATGCGTTTACATTCGTTAGAATAAAACTTTTGGATTCAAAATGTAATCCTAATCCGTTACTACGCTGGCGAAAACAAAGTATGAGCATACAGGTAAACTGCTGTCATTGTTTCTTTATTTAGTTTAACACTTTTACCAACAAACAGAGAAAAAACTGAAGTCTGTTCTACATTGAAACTATAAGAAAAACAGCTATGATGTACCATCGTTGTGGCTTCCTCTTGTGTGTCCCAGAGTTGTAACCGGTCTGGAAATACTAGACCAGTCCGGTCCGGCCAGCCACCGGCCGGTCCAAAAGTATTTCCAGAACGGTAAAAACCGGCGAGTTCATCAAGTTTTTTCAAGTAATAACATTGATATTAGGGACAAAATTTTGTTCTGAATACCTACAGATTTCTGGACATGAATCAGAGTATATGTATAGTTAGTGTGTAAA